ATACGGTGCCCTCCCCAGAGTACGAAGGGCAGCCCGGGCTGGAAGGCCCGGGGCGGGATTCTCCATCGTTGTTAACTCCGGTACCCGCCTGGGGTATTACTCTACTTCTTAGTCGCATCGCATAAATGTGAGGGTTGTTTTATATGAGGCATGGGTAAGAGGAGATATCATGGCAAAAGAAGTAAAAAGTATTAAAGTTAAGGTAGATAAAGTAGGTTAAGGGAGTGAGAGGAGAGAAAAATTAGGAAGAAAATACATTTAGCCTATGACTGGGTCAAATGTATCGGTGATTGGGACCGTTAGTTGGAAGGGTGTCGCCGAGGTGTAAGTGGCTTTAACATTTGTATCTCCTTTAAAGGGTGAGTCTAGTTCTTAGTGACCTAACCGTAGTTCATGCCTTCCGTAAGCCCCCCCACCACGTCAAGGTGGCCCCTTAGGGGGGTTATTATTATTATTATTATTAATTTTCTGTAATTTTAATTCGATTAATATTATTATTAATTTTCTGTAATTTTAATTCGATTAAAACCCGAAAGACTACAGTATTAAACTTTTCTCCAAGTTAAAGTAAGTTAATGACCAAAAAGATCGAATGCGCAGTTCAGATGTCATTTATAGAGCCCTTAACTAAAAGTAGTACAATTAAAAAAAATATAGAATTGGTCAATAACTCTGTATAGCTTTCAATATTGAAATCTACAAATAAAAGCAAAGAGATCCGCCCAAAGAAAAGAACAGTCTGAACAGTAAACAGAAAAGTGGATTAAGTACAGAACTAATTGTTTAATTGTCCGCGGCATGTAGTAATCCACTTTCCCCCATAACGGGCGGATTACTGAGTAAATCACTTATACCATTAACAAGCTGTGGGCGATGAAAGGATTCCGATAAATAAGGTAAGATTGCCAGATATTTTTTTTAGAAACCTTGCCCCACACTAGTTTTTTCTCCTGTGTCATCGATGCGTTTACAAACATACAAGTTCACAGAAGACACCCAGACCCGGAACAACAATCTGTGGACCCGCGACACGTTGCGCGGTAGCCAGCTAACCAACCACAGCATCCATTTTACAGAATGCCCTTTAAAAATTCCCAAAATTAAGAAAACTCACCATTATAATTAATTAGTACAAGTTTATTTGACCTTTTCACGTTTAAATATCTTACATTAATAGTGATCCATAAAATGAAAGCCAACTGGTGGGTGGACGCAAACAGGCGAAGTTTTGTAGGGTGGACTCGAACAGGCGAACGTACCCTAATTTGAAATTGAGGATAATAAAGACGGCGGTAAAGCCGATAAAACGAGAAGCAATAATCGGTTAGCATCGGCTAGCTAGACAATCGGCTGAAGAGCAATGTGTTACAGCTTCCATTCTTGCATAGAACGATTTATTTGCTCGATCCACTATTTTTAATCTCCTTCATTATTTTTAAAAACACTCCATAAGGAAAAAGGGACGGGCAGAGAGACTTACTTAAACTCCTCCGGTCTCCGATCCCGTACACGATGGCAGGCCTGATGATGGTGTAGTTCAGCTCTCCACTCATATTCTTCAACTCCTTCTCTACTTTACTCTTCATCTTGGCTTCCGTGGTCCACGGCTCTACGGCGCAGTCTTCTTTTTGTGGCTAAAATTGTTAATATGTAGTTAGAATATTCCTTTAAGAAATGTTAATTTATCCATTTTTATATTACAAATATTATCGTTATGTCGTGATACATATTAAGGTAAGATAACTCGACTATTATGATGAATATGAGCCCCGATAGTGGCTTGAAATCAGTCGAATTACCTCAGCAAACAGTTACGCGAGTAAAGTACAACATAATTATATAAATTCATTTTTTTTTAAATAACTAATGTTTGTGTAATCTGTTTCATTGATTACTCTTTTACAACTAAATTGTAAGTTAAATCAAGATTACATCAGCATATAAATATATAAATGACGTCACAGGCTCCCATAAAATTGATTCAATCTACTAAATGTACTCAAAATTACGACCAATATAAGTTCGGCTAACGATATTAATGAACGTACTGGATGCGACGACGGTACGTCATGAAATTGCCACTTATCAGTGATTGATAATAAATAATTACTAGTAAGTTGCGGTCGCACTCGTAAATTTCATCCCGTCGACTTATTAATGGGCTACGGAACAAGACATGTAGTGACGCCAGCTAAGTCCGGATTGGTCACGCCTTTTGCACTGAAGGGGTGGGCAAGAAATGCAAGTTACCTATTTGGCACAAAATTTTCGTTGGCATTGAGAATTTCGAAATTCTACGGGAATAATTTATCATATCGCAAGTGCGACTGCCGGGCAAAGGGTCTCGGGTTCGATTCCCGGGTCGGGAAAATATTACTGGGTTTTTAAAAAATCTCAGTAGTAGCACGGAGTCTGGAAATGTGCCCGGTATTTGGCAATAGGCTTACCCCCTATTACATGGGACTCCTAACATAAATACTGAAAAGTGGGTCTTACTTATGTGTGCACCGGGATAAAAGGCGTGATGTTATGTTATGTTATGTTAATTTATCATATTTCGCTGTAAAGGATGACTGACACCAACGCTAGCAACTTAACTGTCCCTATATAATAAAAATTACAAGTACCCAATCACTTTTATAAAAGTTAAGGGTTTTGCCCTACGTTAACGTAGTTTTTAATAGAATTCAGTGCCTCGCTCATATCACAAACACTATATTGTACTAAAAATCATCATCAATCACTCATGAACTTATTTCAAAAATTCATCGTGAGTCGTATGTGACTTCTTGGACAGTTAAGTTGCTAGGGTAGTCGCGGAGAACCTAACGGGTAACCGGGGCTCCGGCTCGACGTGCAGGAGAAGGAACGGGGTGGTTTTTAGTCAGTAAGAGTCTGACACTCCCTCCCGCCTCACCCAGGCGGGAGCAGTCATTTGATGATTTTCTCCCTTAAAAAAAAGTTGCTAGGGTAGATACTACAGCCTCCAGCATAACTAACGAGGCAGTCGATGTAAGTTAACATTACATGACTCTCAAGCCGAATGTGCACCGCCAGCTAAAATAAATTAGTTAAGCTTAATTTGCAGTCATCCAGTTTTTCATACATGTGCGTCCACCGCAAACTATACTAGTCAAGCCGCGTTGTATGAAATTCAACTATGTGAATTAAGTTATTCTAGCTGGCCGTGGACGTTTGGCTTCAGATGTAAAAATGTTTTTTTATGGAATAAGCCGGTAAACGAGCAGACGGATCATCTGATGGCAACATGGACACATGAAACACCACATGCGGCGTTATCGGCCTTTTGGGGATTCGGAATTTGACGATTTTTGCGATTGGCCCTCCGGTAACCTCACTCCGCGACGATACACAACGCAAGCGTTGTTTCACGTCGGTTCTCAGTGAGGCTGTGGTATCACTCCGGTCGAGCTGGCCCGTTCGTTCCGAAGCATGGCTCTCCCATACTTGGTGTCATGTTGGTCATTATTGAAAAATCGTTTGTGTAGGTATCTATCATGATTGATGAAAATAATCATGCGATCAGTTGACATGACTCAATTTTCTATAATATCTTTAGTTTTCGCATGACTATGCGTCTACTAGATTATGATTATTATCAATCACTCTTGCAACGTATGCTTGCAGTACATGAGAAAATTTGCGACTGCTTTTAGCTATGATTACATCACACTTGTGAAATGTAATAAGTCAGATTTGATATAATTAGAAGATAAATAGGTTTGATATAAATCTAGATAATTATACTTAAAAATAAATGTATCAGCCAATTAATAATCCGATTACTTTGTCTATGTCTAGCGATCTATTAAATGAGCAAGTCATATAATTTCACGGCAATAAAGGATATGGAAATCTTTACTAGTATTAAAAGAGAGAAACTGTTTGGTTTCCTTTTTCTCGCCACGACGGAGTGGGACTTTAATAGGGCTACTTTTTTGCCAAAAACATGGGAAAGAGATCCCCTAAACCCTCATTTTATTTTACCAGTAAACAGTCGACTTACCTTATCACTACTATGCATCTGTCCGCTGGAGATCTCGACCAGTCTATCCACCTTCAGCTTGGCGCACTGCCGGGCTACATTCACACTCAGGGTGTAGATGCCTTCGGAGTATACTGCCTCCGTCTGCCCCACCCTGGTCTCGCCAGCACAGTTCACCACCAGGCCCCAAACGGCTCCGTCTCCAGGATCCAAGGCTGAGGCGCATGATGCTGTAAAGGATTTTAAAGTATGAATACAAACTTTTATTATTTAGTATACATTTTAATTAAATAGATTTGATGATGAATGGAGAGTTATTCAAGTTAGGTTGTTTTTTTTTTGTATATTTTTTCAATAAAAAAAAAAACAGAAAAACGTTTGCGGAAAAGTCTAATTTTGTAACGCCTAAATAAATGAAAGACCGAATCTATAGGTTCTGAATTTTTAAGCAGTGCGAACGTCGCTAGGTCAACTACTTAGTATAAATAATTACAACACGAAAGATTCAAAGATGTCAGTGCATAAAATTTAATTTAGGTCACAGATATGCTAATAAATTAACACCGAAGACTAAGTAACTACCCAGAACACGCTGTCATTTCTAAGAAAGAATAAATAATTATTTTAGACAATACCTACATTTAAAAAAAGCTAAAGATGAATGTTTGTCGGAAGTGAGTCACTGGCTTAGTCACACTCACGCATAACTACTGCATGTAGAAACTCACAAGTTCATTGGGGAGTGGAGAGGAATTGTCTAAATTCTTACGGCAACGAGACATTTATTAACACGTCGAGTACCGTCATTATACCTCTAGACACAATTATAGAACAATAGGTTGCGGTCACCGGTAACCGCTCGGTGTTTGACAGTTTAAGGAGAATTTTATTAATAAACCTGTACTATACAGTTCACTCACGTAACTACTCAACGTAGTTACTCGAAGAGTTTCGAGCTGTAATTAGGAGCCCCTGGTGTAGTTAGAAAGTAGTCGAGTAACTTTGTCGAAAAGCATACATATTGGAAGTAATATGCATAACCAATTTAATTTGATGTCTCACAGTAGTTACAATATAAAAATTGTTAACCGAGGATTTTATTCACGTACGAATATGTAGACAAATGCTATTCACATAAGTAGTAGCTAATGAACCAAGGCCTATCTAACTAGGCCCATCCAAGGCCAACTCTCATCGTAAATCAAAAGACAGAAAGGTTCTTTTCAATAATCGTGGAAAATTCTCACGTGATTAAAACTATGCACATAGACATCACGCTTTTTAACCCTCAAAAGGGCAGGTAGTGATAGTGGAAATGCAAATATAAAACGTGTCAGTACTAAGTTCCATTCTTAGTATACCTATGTACCATCATTCCATGTAATAGACGCCGAATAACATAATAATTAATATTAAAAGTAAGCCAAATTGAAAGTACCTTTAATCGAAGAGCACGCATGACTATTGAAAAAACTTATGACTGTAAAGGAAGCGAAAGAGGTATGCAGTAACTAGACGCCACGCCACGCTTCTAGAGTCTATACTCTGCCTACCCAGGGAGACAGGTATGAGTATGAGAGGTTATGTATACTTTTTTTTTAAGGAAGGAAAATCATCGATTGAAATACGCCTGGGTGAGGCGGGAGTGTCAGACTTGCTGACTAAAAACTACTCCGTTCCTACTTCTACCCTCCGAACCGGAGCCCCGACAAACCCGTTAAGCCCTCCGCGTTATGTATTCTAGCTTAATATTATTGTAGTTTTCGAGTCCCTTACAAAACGGGGCGAGCCTGCTAGCGATTCAAACTCAGTTCAAAAACCAAAAATAAGCCTACAATCTCTTTTCCCATCTCCCTTAGACTTGTGACGTTAAATCCATTTTCCCATTTCGGTAAATATAGCTGATACATCAAATAGGTACACAGGTGTCAGATATCGAGACAGACGTATGTGGCGCCGACAGTACCACAGAATAAAAATATATTATACTGTGACTGTGAGTACCGATACGTCCTCACATAGTGCATACAATACCACCATCAATGCTGAATATAATAAATATTAGGTCCTTTAGTAGTATCAAGGTTGCGTTATGGTTCATTGAAATGTGTACTATATCATTATCGAGTTAAGTTTCATTTTCCTACTGGCTTTGGAGCAAAATTATATTCAAGAACAAGACTGTTCTACCTCTTAGGTAGCTACCTAATAACAGAGGTGATGTTGTGTGTTACCTACTTATACCATATAGTTATAACTGAAAGTGCCTCGTCTACTCTAGCATGTTTCTAAGTTCATTGCTTTCTGAATTACGTACATAAGAGCAAAATTCTGCTAAGTGGTTGCTAAAGGGTAGGTATATTTACATCGCAAGCTATGAACTGCTCAAGTTTGCCCGTCTACCAGTATATTTGGATATCTAGAAATTTATTATAATTATATCACGACAATACTCTTCAAAAGAATAAAAATCCCTCCATGTAAAAAGACTGATCTGTTAAAGGTAGCAGGAAGCGTTACGATTCGGAAGTCTTTGAGGAAAAACTGCGTTCAGCAGTGAATGTCATGTATTCTGGTCATTTCTGGTTGACGCGACGTATGATGATGAAGGGAGGTACTCGGTAAAAACATATGACTTATCTCAATCTACATTATAGGAAAGGGCTAGAAGAATAATAATTACATAACATAACATTTATCCTTTATCCCCGAAGGGGTAGGCAGAGGTGCACATTATGCCACTGTACAATGTAACACCCACTTTTCACTATTTATGTTATGAGTCCCATGTAATAGGGGGTGAGCCTATTGCCATATACCGGGCACAATTCCAGACTCCGTGCTACTACTGAGAATTTTTTTAAAAACCCAGTAATAATAATTGTTATTTTCATTTAATACTGCTGTAGCTAACTGGACGCAGTTTTAATCTTCTTTACCTTCGTATATTCTACATTTCCTAAACTATATATAGAGCAGGTTCCATTCAGATTACTTACAATACCTAGAAACTTGTATTTTCCTGTGTACCTTCCTGTTTAAATATCCTGGTTGCTTGAGGCAATAACAATTGGCCTGTAACGTATGATAAATTAATATTCCTTGCATGCGCCGCGGACATTTTGAATATTAACGCGGTACGACACCAAGTATAATAAGAATTAAACATTTATTTATCTCGTTGGAGATTTCCCTTGTGGCTTTTATGAGTGGAATGTTATTATAATCGGTTGTATTAAAATAGCCAGTAGCTAAGCTAGAGCTACATAACAAAGTTCTTTAAACATTAACTAGTAATATTTTGATTGTGATTGGCTCAATGCTGAGTATAAATTAGGACTATTGTCAAAATCGGGCACAATTCCAGGATTCTCAGTAAGATGAGATATGCTAATATTGATACACCCATATATCCTTAAACGGTCACCGGTGACCGCTCTCCACTAACTACATTATAGACCTTATTTCCAATGTTTAGAGACTACTTTTGTATGAACAAATTTAGGGGATGATTTTCAACAATTTTCAACGGTTTAATGTGTTTTTCTTTCAAAACTCACCAGGTCCCTGTACTAATGCTTATCGATTGTGTTTGCAACCACTCAACTAATTAATGTCAAACCATAGCGTGTTTTCTAGAACGGCAATGTAGGTGAACTATTGACTCTGTGATAGGCATATAAAATCAATTTACCGCGAGAACAACTTCATTAATTATAGTTAAATGCACTTTTAGTTACGCTGTATTTGCTCTGAAAGAGTTATCGTTGGCAGAAATGAAGGAAAATTAAAAAAACAATGTAAAACAACTGAAAAATCAAATTTATTCAACGGATTTTTACGTTATAATGACAAATTTGTTGGTATAAATAACTTACCTAGAGGATAAAATGTTGATTTAAGGAGTTCAATTACCTACCTGATTGTGCTTGTTGAATATTTCATTAATATAATATTAATTATCGATGTACTACATTAAATATAAATTACATTTACGTCAAACATGAAGAAATAATTATGACGCAGTACATATCAAACTGGTGAATTTTACCATTCTCACATAATTTAATCTGAAAAAAAAAAACCTTAACATTGGGCAAAATACCAATGCATGTATTCGTCAAAAACGACAGGCGGATTTAACGTAGCCGCTTCGTGGACAGTTTTCATTGTTTTCAAACAACATGCAAGCATTTGTCATTTGTAGGCCGCCTAGTGTTTGTGAAGGATGCATGCATTCGTCAAATGACGCAGGCAAAAGCAATAATTATTTGTTATTAGTTGCCGCTACGTTGCCGCAAAGTGGACAGTTTTGATTGTTTCTACGCAAGATGCAAGCATTCGTCTTGCATTCGTCAATTGACAAAACCGTGCGGTTCCGTGGACAGAAACCCTTACCTATTTCAATAATGTTGTTTATGAAGGAAAAACATAATTTATCCTCATAATATTAGATAGAACAATGCGACAAAGACATCTTATTAATACACTCACCGGCACGGAAACTTGGCCACCGACAAACTCGCCGATAATTTCTATTTAAATATTTAATTTTCACTATATTATGGGTTTATGCACTAAATTAGAGTTTTTTCATGGTTTAGTAACTCAGTTATTGAAAAATTGATGCACCAGCAGTAATCTTTTAAAAAATAAGTATTTTCACAGAAATATTGATTTTAACACTGTCAATTTAAAATGAACACAAAATG